GTAAAACGACGGCCAGTAGACCGGCAGATCTGATATCATCGCCACTGTGGTGGAATTCTCTTGTAAAAGATATCATAAATCTGTCAACTGATAAAATGTTGGTGATTATTATGACAAATATTTTATCAGTCGACATATTTATGATATCTTTTACAAGAAACGAGATAATTGAGCTCAGAGTTGACGATGTGAGTGTTCTTTTACCGCTATGGAATCCATCACTGTCAGTCGGAAAAATGAATTATTTTCGAAATACTTCTTCTCCTTCACCAATATAATAAAAACAATAAAAATGTGCAAATATAATCCGATTCCAAGATAAATTGCATATCCCAGAAACATCATTCCCTCCCAAAATGCATTGTAATCCAAACTACAGTCAATAGGGTAAATCTCAGAATTATTCATTGTGAATTGTAGAATGAAAAAAGTGAGGAAGTTTGAGAAAATTGTGAGAGAAAGCTGAAAAGTCGCACAACTTGGGGGCGGAAACAGCAATAATTATGAAATGATTGCCTGAGAAAACTGGTCGTCTGCCAGTTCTTAGGAGCACAGAAACCACAAAAAATATGAGCAAAATATGACCTTTAAATTTTCATTGCACTGAAAAAAACGTGATTTTTTAAATGAACCCAGTGGACCATAGAAGGACGAGCAATGAGTTAAAAATGTTATTTGAGACCCAAATTTTGGGATTTTTTTCCAGAAGCAGAGATAATTAGCGTCAAGGTTACGGTACTGTACATTCAGGTTCGAACCCCAGGCTTGTATGATTTTTTCCTATCACTTTTAAATATCAAATCCAACTATTCCCATCCTAAAATAGGTGCAACAAACGTTTGATCAAAAAAAAGCGCAACCGATTTGCACTCAACCGAAAATTCAGAACGTAGTACAAATGAATGTCGTCAGTGGACAAATCGTGCGAATTTAGAAATATCAAACAGAAATCTTTTGATTTCTTAAGAACATGAAAAGTTAATATGATCCACAAAACTTTGAAGGAAATCGCAACTTCCACGACAGAAACAAGCAAAGAGAGAGTTTAATTATGAGAAAAAAATTGAAATTAAAATAGAAAAAAAAAACTTCAATTTGATCAGACTTCGTACACTAATCAGCGTTTTGAAAGGCCAGAGACTCGGCAACCAGGCTGGGAAGATCATGATTTAGATATTTGAGGAAAACTTTTTAGATCTTGGTTGACGCTCAAAACGTCACCGTGGAACTTTGACTCGATTCCCATGGTACATTTCTCATTGTTTCCCAAGAGATGGTTACTATTAGAAGGCTCTATGGTATACAATCCCTAATCTACATGACAATCTAATACTGAAACCATAGTTTACGACCTCAATAGCCCTCTTCACCTCGTCTTACAGCTCATCCAGGTGAAGGAGGATGACAAACAGATTAGTGGGCGGAGTCAATATTCTGTATATAAGTAGCTCCAGATTCCTCATTCCTTACGCGTTCTCACACGAACACTTCTTGTCTTTCTCTATCGACCTATTCGTAAAGATGTCATCTGTTGCTTCTACTTCTTCTGCCTATTCCTTCAAATACTTCCCACGTTATGGTCAATGGACAAAGGAGATGCAAATGGAGTTGGATGAGCATTCGTCAACTGATAAATTATTTATCATATCATCACCAATATTTCATCAAATGACACATTTGTTATATCTCCCACAGGAATCAAAATAATTGAGCTCAAAGTTGACGCTTTGGGGGGTCCATTAGAGGACCAAATTTATAATCAATTTCAGAGCATTGTGGTCACCCTAAATGAGCTATTTTTCTTCAAACTCTTTACTTATCTGACTCCGTTATGCTCAATAATCGGTCCATTTTTCTGGACCCCTTCTATCAACCTCAACATGGTTTATATCAGTTTGAACCATGCCAGATTTTCAAAATCCATCACTCAAATTTTCATGGTTCTCAACCGAATGTCGTGTGTATTATTTCCAACGGCATACAATAGAATCTGGAGAGTTATGAGTTCTGTATCCTATCTTCTCATCCTGTTCCTCCCTTGCGCCGGAATGTGGAACGTTTGGATTTCCAGAATTTATTTAAAATCTCTTCGCGGTGGATTTACACTGGGTTATGAGAAAACTGTGAAATGGGCGGCCCTATCTCTCTTCCAATCAATATTCATCCTTACCGCGTTGGCTTTCACTATAGTTTGCTCTTCGATAACATTTTTCAAACTAATTTTTCTTCCGGAGCGTATAAAACCTGCTGAAAAATCTCTTTGTTTAACCTCTATTTTCATTTCCTTTACTTTTGTTTCGGTGGCAATCACTCAGGTGAGTTCTATTCCAATTTAATGAGAAAACATTTTTACAACAAAGTCAAAAGTCAAGTTCTCTGAGATTCAGCACTCAATATTTCCATTAATCAATTTTTAGCTATTATTTGCCTTCTGCTCGTCTTGTGACCATGACATTTTATATTTGTTCCAAAGTTGGGCATTCGACATTTTTACCATCGGGTGAGCTAGCGCTGTTGCTTATAACTAGAAAACAGAAAACCCCAATTTCCAGACCAGCTGTGATCGTTGTGCTGACAAGTAAACAGATCCGAGAATCCCTATTTTGTAGCAAGGCATCCAGAAAGAAGGTTTCTGTTATCAGTGTATCGGGACGGTCCATCGCATTGTAAAATACCGTATTTCCTTCAATAAAAGCCCACCCAAACCATTCACTCTGAGCTCAATTATCTCGATTCCTGTTATAGATACTAACAATTTGTCAACTGATAAAATATTGGTGATATTATGATAAATATTTTATCAGTTAGCAAAATTTTGATATCTTTCACAGGAATCGAGATAATTGAACTCAAAGTTGACCGCTTAGTTCTATTAAAGGAAATACGGCGACTGTTTTTCAAGTTACATATTAAACTTTCTATTGTAAATCAATGAAACAATTTCAAGTTTTTTTTTGAGTTCTATTGACCTAAAACCGCTAGAAATATGATAATTATGAGAATTCCCATTTTTTTCTCGCAATTAAAATTGTTATCACTCTACTATTCTCCAGTTTGTTTTTTATTTAGTCAGATAGACCAGAGAAGGCATCTAAAAAATAGGGCCATGAAGATAAATGACTTAGGAAATTAAGCAGGAAAAAGTTAGGCTACCGTACTATATGGTCCAGGAAGTTCATCTGGGAAAAGTTAGACCAGGAAGCTAGGTGTCCTAGGAAATTCATCAAAAAAAAATCTAGGCTACGAAGCTAGATGACCTAGGAAATCCATCTGAAAATAATTTTAAAAAATTGCTAGATGGCCTAGAAAATTCACTTTAAAAAATTAGGCCACGAAGCTAGAATACTTAAAAATGTATCTAGAAAAATTAGGCCACGACGCTAGATGGCCTAGGGAATGCATCTGAGAAAAGTTTGGCCATAAAGCCGGGTGGCCTAGAAAATTCGTCTAGGAAAAGTTAGGCCACGTTTTGTAACAGAACTTTGCACATACTCTCTGGCTAAATTCCCACTACTTCATAGTCTTTAATTTTTCTGAAATTTCCGTTTCAATGATTCTGTATCTTCTTTTTCTTCTCGACAACATCTTTCACAAATTTTCTGAAAATTTTCTATTAAAAAATGAGCGTCTCCTCTGCCTACTTCAATTTGACTACAATTCCTGACTATTTTCCATTTGAATGTCAAAATGAAAATGATACATTATCCGAAGTTTTGATTTATATTGGACTTCTCATTTTCCTGGGAACCGGTCTGTATTCCCATATTTTCATACTTGTTTCCGTTTTATGGACTAAACGAAAAACATACAAAGACTTTTCATTTTTCAAACTTTTCGTTATGGATTCTATTGCAGTAAGAATCACATTTTTTGCGTTAATTGGTACTAATTAAATAATTTTCAGAGCATAATCATTCTTACTGATGAGTTACTATTCACTCATATTTTCCTATTTGTTCCTCCTCTATGTCCAATTTTCAATCATTTCTTTTTCGGACCTTCAATTCTCACAAAATACGTTTACATGTCTATGAATCATGCAAGATTCATGAAGTCGTTGGCTCAAATTTTTATGGTTTTTAATAGAATGTCATGTGTTGTAATGACACTTCCAGGGAGATATGATTTGGTAAAAAAATAGCTTAAAATCTGTAATAGAAGGACACTCCTAACATTTAACTTGGAACCAATTTATCTCAGCTCCTGTGAAAGATATAAAAATGTTGTCAACGGATAAAATAATTTTGATATTATGATAAGCGATTTATTAGTTGACAACTTTTTGATATCTTTCACAAGAACTGAGATAAATTGGCTCAAAGTTGGGGGTCCATTTTATTAGAGCTTCTACGATAGAATGGATATGAATAAAAAGTTGGTATTTCAGCTCTGGAAAAAAGGGCACCAATATGCTGTATTTTAATTGGTGTTCTCCCATTTTGTGGAACCTGGAATATATTTTTGTCCCGAGTATTTGCAACTAATCAACGGAGCGGGTTTGCATTGGGTTATGAGAGAGCAGTCAAATGGGCGTCCATCTCTCTTTTTCAATCCATAGTACTCTTAATTACCCTGTTTTTCACTATCATATGTTCTTCAATCACTCTCTACAAACTGATCTCACTGCCTGGACGTATAAAATCAGCAGAAAAATCGTTGTGTTTTACTAGTATTTCGATATCTATCACGTTTGTGTTAGCAGCAGGAACACAAGTTGGTACACCCTGTTTATCTCGCTTCTAGTGAAAGATATCAAAAAGTGATCAACGAATTAAATGTTTTTGATATAATGATAAGCATTTTGTTAGTGGACCACTTATGATATCTCTAATAAAAAATGAGATAAATTGATTTTCCAGACTTTGAATTATCAAACACAAATTTCAGCTCCCAATTGTTTTCTGCTCAACTTGTGACAAAGATGCTCTCTATGTTCTCCAAGCCATTGCATTTGATACATTCACAGTTGGGTGAGTTCTCATAGAATAATATTTTTATTATAAAGTTAAAATTTAAGATCTGCTCTAATTATGATACTGGTGAATACAACTCTACGAGGATCGGTTTTCAAGGGAATCAAAAGAACGTCAATTGTTTCAGTTTCTTAAATTTTTATTCTTGCTGAATTTTAAAATTGAACAATAAAAATATGAATCAATTCATTGAAACACTTCTGAACGCACTTCTAACCCGAACTTTTGATGGCTCTACAGAAGGCTTATCCTCTCTGAATTTACACGGAAATACAGCTGATCGAAGTTTGGTGTCTGTTATTATCATAATGACTGCTGATCTGGAAGTTACAGAAAAACATTTTTTGATTCTTTTGAGCTTCTCAAACTCACCCAACTGTGAAAACGTCGAAAGCTATTAACTGTGCATTGAACAAACTGAAATAGGTTTGAGTTCGACAAATCGGACAAAACGCAATGGCTGCCTGGGAATTGAGAATTTCAGAGGAATCTGCTATAATTAAGATCGTCGGGGCTAACCTGACTTGCTCCCACTAGCAAAAAACTGCAAGAAAGAAAGATGCAGGACATACACAACGATTTTTCAATTGATTTCACTCTTCCAGGTAGCAAAACGAGCTTGTAAACAGTGATAAGGGTACAGATTACGGTGAATAATAACGCAGTGAGGATGAAAACCGATTGGAACATTGAAAGAGCCGCCTGGAATAGCCCAGAAGATTTAGGATAGGTTGGGAATCTACACGGTGGCACACAATTACCCGGACTGATAAAAACCGGTATATCTTTAGACATAACTATTTTGGAAGCACGAAAATTGGTAGAAATATAATTTTACGTTTGATTCAAAGCTACTGAAAATTTCGAAGCGAGCCCTGAAGTCTAGGTGTTGTTATGGTTATCCAAAGATGAATGGCGTAATGTTTCTTGTGACTTTCATGAGATGAAACAACTTTGACGAGCGATAACTCAGCTCAAAGTTGATCAAATAATTTGAAACTTGGCCAGTTTACCAAAACATCTCATCAATACAATAAAGGAAAATTTAAGAAAGTTACAAAAAGTGATCAGCTAAAACCCGTATTTTTAGAGCAAATTTATTTTAATCGATTTCAAAAATTACACAGTCTCATGTGAAAAATAGAGTGGTCTAACTTTCCCAACATGATTTTTTCTAGGCTAATCCACCGTAGTTCGTAGTCCAGAAATCGTCTAACAAGTAGCTAGTCCATTTAAAAAGGTAGCCTATGTTGAGTTTTCTAGGCCGCTATTGTAAATTTCCTAGAAATTGCCCGTATTCAACTGATGGGATTCTTACGAAATTTCAATATGATGGCCTAACTTTTGCAAGTTGAGATTTCTAGGTCACGAAAAAACTAACCCAATCAACAGCTCTCATATAATTCATTGTAAATCCACCACGAAAACTATCCATATAAATTCGCGAAATCAGACAATTCCAATTTCCAGCAAACGGGAGCAAAATCAGACAAACCCAAACAACAGGCGTCATTTTTCTCCAGATCTGAATTTTTTTGAGTTGTTATTGAGATTCAGACCAAAGCCATCATTCACACTCACTTTATCATAACTCGTTGGAAATAACACACATGTCATTCGATTCAAAACCATTGCAATTTGAGTAAGAGATTTCGAGAATCTCACATGATTGGGTACAGTATACATGAATTGGAGCAAAATGGAAGGACTCCAAAAATATGGACTAGCTATTTTACATAAAGGGGTGACATACATAAATAAGCGGCCATAGAAAAGTGAGGAACATATTAAAATAGAGCTCTGGAAATTTTGAAATTACCGTATGTATTTTCTCGAATAGACTGTAAACTTTGAGCTTAATTATCTCAATTCCTGTGAAAGCTACCAAAATTTGTACAACTGATAAAATGTTTATCATGATATCAGCAGTATTTTATCAGTTTACAACTCTTTGGTCTCTTTCACAGAAATCGAGATAATAAAGATTGAAACTCACCGCAATAGAATCAGTGACAAAAATCTGAAAAAATGAGCTCCGACTATAATATTGTCTTTCAGTGAACAAAATGGTTTTTATAATAAGAATATGCAAAATAAGTCCGATTCCTTGATAAAATAAAGTTCCTATATATTTCGAAATTTCCCAAAAAGGGTCGTATTGATCGGATTTGCAAATGACACGAATTTCAGAATCATTGTATGGGTTCATAATAAAAAAAGAAAGGGAAATACAACGTATTCTGAAGGAGAAATACGTGTTTAACTGAATTCGGTTTTTTCAGAGAGACATGTGGAGACAATTATGGAGATTAGATGGAGAGCAGAAAAATGTCGATTGTTGAGGGTTTAGCAAGAATTTTTTTGAAGAAATGAATGATTTGAAATGTGGGGGTTCATTTTGGGTTGGAAGTTTTTGGAAATTTGAAGTTTTTGTTTCAAGAAGTGTTTGAGAAGATCAGCATCAGTTTGGTCTTTGATCCAAGAGACATTTCGCGAGATTCTAAAAATTTCAGACCTCATTAAAGTGTAGATTTCAAGGCAATGTGAAAGTTTCAGAAAGCCGTTAAGCCTGAAATAGAACCGTCCACTTGAACCTAATTTATCTCGATCCCTGTGAAAGATATCAAAACAGGATCAACTGATAAGTTGTTTATCATAAAATAAAAATTATTTTGTCAGTTGATCACTTCTTGATACCTGTTACAGGAAATGAGATATATGAGCTGAAAGTGGACAGGTCGGCGCTTGCCAGCTGAGCTACACGGTCGGTTGTCATCCTTTTAACTTTACCCAATTTATCTCGGTTCCTGTAAGAGGAAAAAATATTCAAATAGTGAAATGGAGCTTATATTATGGTAAACATTTTATCAGTTGACGACTTTTTGATATTTTTTAAAGGAAACGAGATAGATAAATTGGGTCAAAGTAGGATTCCCTTTATTACAGTGTTTTGCGGCAACCGCCTGGTCGAGTCCCCATTGCCCAAGCGTCTTTTGATTGTATACTCTTCATTTTCAGCCAGATTCCATTTCCAGAAGCATTCAAAAATCCTTTGAACTCCTGAACATTTTTCCGAATATTTCGATCACTTCTGATTTTCTGAATTTTTCAGACAACTAAAAAATCAAAGTCTCCAAAATTGCACTTTAAAAAGCATCTGCTTACCTATATTCGGCTAAAAATAAGTTCCCTGAAATGATTCAGACTTAAGAATCAAATTAACAAGAAGTGAAGGTTATGGCGAGAACTACAATGACGAAAATTGAAACAATTCAATTAGGAGTTTGCTTGAATTAGTGTTACGGAGAAGAACGACGTTTGATGCGGAAGGTGTGGTATTAATTACCATCAAACCTGTAATTGTAGGGCCCCTACCTTTGAACTTTGAGAGCCATTTTTCTCAGTACCTGTCAAAGATATAAAAAGTTATCAACTGATAATTTTTTTAACATCAAAAACATGTTATCTATTGATCAATTTTTTTAATCTCTTACTGAGACCCGGATAGATAATCTGAAACTTGACAATGTGTGGGTCTTCTTTTACAGGTTTTACGATCATCCTCATGCTGGAATAACAAAATTTGAAAAAATCTGAAAACTTGTAAACCTGAAACAAGAAAATTAGATTGTGTGAAACTGTCTGAAATGCTATGAAGGTGTATTTTAGTTTCGGGCAATTAGGGTTCGATCACCATTGGTCCATAGATTTAGCATTAGAACATGGCTTCGGCATATTGCTCATCCAACAGAGCACCGTTGCCCATTTACCGTATTTTCTCTAACAGAAGCCCATCCTATACGTCCACTTTGAGCTCAAATTATCTCGTTTTCTGTAAGAGATATAAAAAAATTGTCAACTGATAAAATATTGGTAATAATATGGTAAATATTTTAACAGTAGATCACTTTTTGATACCTTACATAGAAACCGAGATAATTGAGCTCAAAGTTCATGTATAACATTTGTAGACCAGCATTGGTAGATCACCCCCTAAATCTCTTACATCTATAGAATTCATTGCAAAAATTTTTTTAAAAAATGAGCTATTCTCTATATATTGATTTCCTGGACATAATGTTTTAGTAATTTCTAGCTTAATCTGAAATAGTTGTTTTTCTGAAAGGTCTGAAATGAATGTAAATATAAACAACTCGAAAACGTGACTAACAAAGTCAGAATTCACTTTACATCTCCTTTCAGCCAACATCATCGTAAATATTATTACTCCTGTTCAAGATGTTGAGAAAGAGGGTTTCGTTCAAGGGCACATTTAAAGGCGCAAGAGGGAACTATCGTAGTTTTTGAAGATTTTTTTTTAATTATTGTTTTATTGTTATGGCTCAACAAATACGGTAGTTCCCTCTTGCGCCTTTAACTGCGCCTTTAACAAGTCCATCGCTCTCTACGTGCATTTATTTCGGACAAGAGAGATAATCAAATTTCCAGAAAAAATTTGATTTTTTGATCTAAAGTATATAGACACTTCAACAATAATTTCCCATAATTATTTCCCGGTCGTCATGTTCTTCTGATTTCAGCATACGTTCATAGACGATTCTAGTCTATAAATTCAATTTCTTTTATTCATTTTTCGTCATCCATATTGAATTAAAGACACTCCCCTTAGAACCACCTGCTCGCAGTTGTTTTTTCTAACCACACATCCATTTTTTTTAATTATTCTAGAAATAAATTTCCAGAAACAATGACATCAAAAAACTATTCCGGACCTATGCCATTCGACTGCGATACCTCGTATAATCCAACAATAGAAGTTTTGAAATATATTGGTTCAATTTCATATTTAGTGCCAGGATGTGTACTTCATTTTTTGATACTAAAAAGCATTTTGTTAACTCGCAAGGATTATTTTAAGAATAGCTCATTCTTTACACTTTTTACAATGGATTCTATAGCGGTAAAATGATTTGGAGAACTACCCTGTAATAGAAGGGTCCCTAACTTTGAGTCAGTTTTTTCTCGGTTCCTGTTAAAGATATCAAAAAGTTGTTAACTGATAAATGTTGCTGATAATATGATAAATAATTTATTAATTGACTGCTTTTCAATAACTTTCACAAGATCTGAGATATTCAGCGTTAAAATCGTAGGCGTTAGTGCTAGTCAAATAACTCAACCCCACCCGTCAACTTGGAGCCAATTATCTCAGTTCCTGTAAAAGATATCAAAAATTTGTGAAATGATAAAATGTTTCTTATATTATGGTAATCAATTTATTAGTTAACCACTTTTTAATATCTATCACTGGAACCGAGATAAATTGGCTTAAAGTTGACTGGGTGGATGCTTGATTACCACAAAACGTCTATGATTTTAAAGTTAAATATCTCAGTTCCAGGGAGGGCTATTAAAATATAGTCAACTGATAAAATGTGTAAAATTTCATCAAAAATATTTTATCAGTAGCATACTTTTTGATATCTATCACTGGAACCGAGATAAATTGGCCCAAAGAAGGGGCCCTTCTATTATAGGTTTTAAATGGTTAGGTTTTGAAAAGTATGTTTTCAGAGCATTATGTCGATTCTTCTAGACGTCTTCTTTGGACGTCTCTTCTTATATGTCTCTCCTCTGTGCCCCATAGTTGGACCATACTTTTGGTACCCCTCAATGATTCTAAAAATCTATTATTACGTTCTGGTCCATACTAGATTCGCCAAAGCCGTCGCTCAAATTTTCATGGTTCTCAACAGAATGACTTGCGTTCTGGTGCCCACTTTTTATACTACGGTATGGTCCTAAAAGAGTAAAAGACTAATTTTGGGGATTTTCAGATTTGGAATAAACTGATACCTATTTCCGTGGCTATGATTCTGTTAGTTCCTTTTGGGGGTACTTGGTATCTTTTGCTAACCCCAAGATATTTTGTAATACCATCTTATGGAGGATTTGCAGTGATTTATATTAGAACTGTGGATTGGGTAAGTTACCGTACTTGCTTCCGTAACCGTATTACCGTAATAAGTTACCGTAATACGTTACAAGGTACCGTAATAGAAATCCATCCTATACGCTCTCTTTGAGCTCAATTATCTCGGTTACTATGAGAGATATTAAAAATTTGTCAACTGATGAAGTGTTTAAAATAGTATGAAGCATATTTTATCAGTTAAAAACTTTTTTGATATCTTTTGAAAGAACCGAGATAATCAACCTCAAAGTATTGTATTTGCTCTCATAGGAGCTCACCTTATGCGTGCACTTCGAGCTTAATTATCTCGGTACCTATGAGAGATATTAAACATTTGTCCACTGATCATATTGGTCATATTATGATACACATTTTATTAGTTGACAAATTTTTGATATCTCCCATGGGAACCGAGATAATTGAGCTTAAATTGCACGTACAGGGTGGGCTTCTATTAAAGCAACTAGGGTGAGAACAAGAGGAAGTTTCTAGGCTGCCGTCTCCTTATTCCAATCCATCTACTATCTAACTGCTCTTGGCTTCACTGTTATCTGTACCACTATCACCTTGTACAGTCTTATTTTACTGCGAGTTCGTGTGAAATCCGCTGAAAAATCACTTTGCTTCACTTCCATGTTCATCTCTTTCATTTTTCTCCTAGTTGCGGCTACTCAGGTAATTTTTAAAAAATATTTTTTTAAAGGGACATGAAATGAATAATTTTCTCAAAATTCCGCTCATACACGCCCCTCGAGGTGTTGAACTTGTGGATCTTAAATTTCAACATTTCAGATTTGCTACATAGCCTGTCTTGAGTGTCGACCGTCTCCATATCTCTTTTCAGCTCAATTTCTGGCGTTTGATGCATTTTCAGTGGGGTAATTTTTACAGAGGTCCGGGTTCTTTAATTTTGAAATTTTTTTCAGGTCAGCTGTTATATTGGTGTTGAATAATAGTCAACTGAGAGACTCGATATTTTCACCGAGCAAAAACGAAGACCGCGTGTTTCGAGCATCAACGAATAACTCTTTTACTAGTCATGTGAAGATTTAGAAATTTCAAAAAATGGGGAAGAATAAATATTTTTGATTTCAAGAGATCTAAAGTCTCTATTCGGGGCTTCTAACTACTGTACCAAACAGAAAAGGGGTGTTCTGTAAACCTTGAAATAGAAGAGTTTCCAAAAGTTTAACTTTGAGTCAATTTTTTCTCGGTCCTTTTGAAAGATATGAAAAAGTTGTCAACTGGTAAATTGTTCATCATAATATCACCAATATTTAAACAGTTGACACATTTTTGATATCTTGCATAGGAATCGAGATATTCGAGCTCAAACTTGAGAGGGGACCGTCTACAACAAATTTCATGGCATTCGTATTTGGATTTTTTCAATGGAAGATGGTTACCTTTAGAGTCTTGAAAGAATAATATAGACAATTTCAGAGTATGCTTATTGTCCACAAAATTAGCGTTTCAGTTTTTCAAATAACATATTTTCAGCCATGTTCCATAACCAAAAAAAAACCCCCCGTAAACGCCAAAGTTAGCACTGAAAGGAAGGTTGTGCCTCTTCAAAACAGTTAATTTCGCTTTTCTGGAAATTTACACAAAAGTTGTCAACTACAAAGATGAAGCACTGATTTTTAAAAAATATACTCTGAAACATTGAGACAAATCGAAAAATTCTAGAATGTTTTTTCCAGAATTTTTAAATTTGACTATCTTCCACTGAACGGTAAAATTAAATCTATACCATACGTGCCCTTTGAGCTCAATTATTTTGGTTCCTATGAGAGATATAGAAATCTTGTCAACTGATAAAAGATTCGCAATTATTTGATGAACAGTTTATGAAACCTTTTTGATATATTTTTTAGAAAATGAGATATTATTTAAGCTCAAAGTGCGAGTGTAGTGTGTGCTTCTATTAGAGAAAATCATGGAGTTTCTGGAAAATTTAAATGTTGCAAGGCTCCTTATTCGGTGGGGAAAATGTCCAAAACTTGGTGAACAAACAAACATAATATTGCGCAATTTGTGTCATAATCCTTTCTCATAATACTACTGTCCTACTCTTGCCGGATTCTTGCTCAGCCTGCCATTTTTCTATATTTAAAAAGAAAGAACTTCGTATTTTGGACTCTTTCTCATTTGTATTACCTTTTCACCTGCTCTCCTTGTCTCCATAACTTTTCATTATAGATTTTTTTCTATTTTTGCAACGATGAATATGTTCACTGATCCTCTTCTCATTAACTGTAGTACTGAATACGATGACTTTCTAGAAATATTCAAATACATCGGAAACTGTTCTTATCTAATTCCAGGCGTTTTATTGCACATTTTAATTCTAAAAACAGTATTGTATTCACAGAAAAAGCTGTTTAAGAGCAATTCGTTTTTTCGGATTTTCGTGACGGATTCTATAGTTGTAATTTTCATTTCGTCTAATCATCAAAATATATAAAAAATTTCCAGAGTCTTACTCTTCTTCTCTGGGATATCTTTTTCAATCGCCTAACCGCCTTTATCCCTCCAATGTGTCCTATTTTATGCCCTTTATTTGTCATGCCTTCATATTTTTTGAAATTCTATTACTGTAGTTATAATCATGCCAGAATGTCAAAATCTGTTGCTCAGATTATGATGGTTTTGAACAGAATGTGTTGTGTTATGTGGCCGATGAGTTATGAGAAGGTGAGGATTACTGTACACAGGAATTGACTCAAACTAGACGATTAGCTTATTTCCAGCTCAATAATTTTTAGTAATACTATGTTGATCAAACCAAAAATCTTATTCAGGTCTGGAATCAATTCTCTGCTCCTACAGTAATCCTAATATTGATTATTCCCTTTGGCGGCACCTGGAACATGTTGCTGGCCAGAATGTATCTATTTCCATCGTATGGCGGGTTTGCGGTCACTTATGTGAAAACTGTGACATGGGTATGTGAAGAGAAATTGTATTCGATGTCTTATAAATTTTCAGGCGTCACTATCCCTGTTTCAAGCAATTTATATTTTGACTGCTTTATGTTTTACAGTTGTTTGTACTTCCATTTCTTTGTATAAACTATACATTCTACCGGGAAGAGTAAAAGCTGCTGAAAGATCACTTTGTTTTGTTTCCGCGTTTTATTCGTTGGCTTTTCTGATTGTTGCAGCTTCTCAGGTACAACCGGCGGCTGAAAAACGGCTGCTATGACTACTTTGAGCTCATTTATCTCATTTCCTGGGAGAGATATCAAAAAGGTGTCCACTGATAACTTGTTTACCATAATATCAGCAACGTTTTAAATGTTTACAAGTTTTCGATATTTTTTACAGTAACCGAGATAATTGAGCTCAAAGTGAGCGTATACTGTGGGCTTCTAATAGCGCATTCACGGCATAGTTAACGTTTCATGTCTTCAGATTCCAAAGGGTTACTGTAGTTCCCGATTTTTTCAAATTGAAAGATTTTCAGCTTGTCTTCGTGGTTTGTGTGAACTGCCAATTCACATTCTCTGTCATTTTCCAATTTCTAGCTTTTGATCTTCTCACAGTAGGGTAAGTAAAGTTTCCAGACCTTCTAGAGTGTTCTAGAATCTTCTAGAACCTTCCAGAATTTTCTAAAAAATTTCAGCTCAGCTGTGATAATCCTGCTTACAAGCTCCCAACTATCCAATCATATTTGGATTATGCAAAAACTGAAACCAAAAAATTCAGAAGTTCAAGTGGTCCGAATTTTCACCTCGGTCAATAATTCCTTATCAAATTGATATGTGTAGTTTGATTTGTTGAAAAAAAAGTGATCCAGAACTTTAAAGTTCAATTTTTCTTTCAAAAAAATTCTCAAAAATTTAATGTTTTCAGCTGTTTTAGTTCCTCAAAACCACAAGGTTTTTCTTTCAATTACATATTTCTGTGTTATTTGAATAACTGATTTCCAATTTTCAAACTTTTGGCACGTTTCCTCCAGCAGAACGCTATTATTATACTTTGTTTGTTTCAAAACATAAAACATTCCTCTAGAAGACATCATTCTGAATTTTCTGCTAAAAATTCTGAATATTTGAAAATGAGTTTCACTGATTTCAATTCCACTATTGAACACAAATGGACTGATCGAGTTGCCTACCCTTGCAGTCAAAAATACAATGATTTTGTCGAAATTTCGAAATATGTTGGCAGTTGTTTGTATCTGATTCCTGGGGCACTTTTGCACATTTTTATTATAAAGACTATTCTGTTTTCGCAGATTAAAATGTTCAAGAATAACTCATTTTTCCGGATTTTTGTCACCGATTCGGTTGTGGTAGGAAGCTAACAAAAATTAAATACCTACGAAAGCTTCGAGCTAAATTACCTTGGTTCCTTTAAGAGATATAAAAATTTTGTCAACTAAAAATTTTGTCAACTATCAAAATTTTGTCAAAAAAATGTCAACTAAAAAACTGATTATTGCAACATCAGCAATATTTTATCAGTTGACAACTTTCTTATATCTGTTACAGGAACCAAGATAATTGAGCTCGAAAAAAGTGTTAGGGGCCCTTCTATTACAGGTTTTATGGTAGATATTCAGATGTAAAAAAATCAATTTCCAGAGCCTAGTTCTCCTATTCTGGGATATATTTTTCAGTCGACTCGCTGTGTTCACTCCGCCACTTTGTAAAATTCTCACACCCCTTTTCTATGAACCATCACTATTTTTAAAACTATATTATTGTTCGTATAACCAGGCTAGAATGGCGAAATCTATTGCTCAGATTTTGATGGTTTTAAATAGAATGTGTTGTGTGATGTGGCCAATGAGTTATGAGAAGGTAAGGAGTACTGTAGTCTAGGCAGTCTCGGAATTACTGTAGTCTGTAGTCTAGGGAGTCTAGGAATGTAAGGATTACTGTAGTCCTGAATTGGACTTGGCACTGACCGGCTAATAACTCATTTCAAAAATAAAATTGTGAGCAAAACAACATATCAAATGAAAGAACACGACGAGCTCTGCAACCTCCATTAAGAATGAGCGGGAAACGGTACTGTTCCGGCCTGGCATTCTATATCCGGGCCGACAATTTTCGCCCGGCCCGGACCATAATACCATTCATGGTACCGGTTCATTCTTATTGGAAATTGCAGAGCTCGTCGAGTTCTTTCATTTGGTATGTTGTTTTGCTTAGCCGGTCAGCGCCAAGTTCAATTTCGGAAAATTGTAAATCTAAAAATAATTTTCTTCCAGGTTTGGAACAAATTCCCCATCCTTACAGTAGTACTTATTCTAATAGTCCCATTTGGTGGAACTTGGAATTTATATCTCGGCAGAATGTACACATTCCCATCGTATGGCGGATTCAGCGTTACCTATTTCAGATACGTGGAATGGGTACTGTAGAACTTTTCTTAGAATATTTTTTCATAAGAATTCCAGGCCTCTCTGTCAGCCTTCCAATCGATTTACATTTTGACTGCTCTGAGTTTTACCCTTGTTTGCACTTCGATTTCTTTGTACAAGCTTTATATTCTGCCCGATCGAGTGAAAGCTGCTGAAAAATCGTTGTGCTTGGTTTCAGCGTTTTATTCGTTCGCGTTTTTGATAGTTGCAGGATCCCAGGTACTAGAAAATATCCCTTTTTTAATCACGGGAAATTTTTAGCTTGTTTTTTTCTGCGAAGAGTGCATGACCAAATTTTTTACCGTCTTTCAATTCCTGGCATTTGATCTTCTTACTGTTGTGTAAGTTGGCTTTTCAGAACCTTCCAAAACCTCATAGAATCTTTTAGAACCTTCCAGAGCATTCTAGACCTTTTCAGAATTTTTCAAAGCTTTATAGAATAGTACAGAATCTTATTGAACATTTCAAAATTTTATAAACCTTCCAGAACCTTTTAGCACCTTCTAGAACATTCCCAAACATTTCAGATCTGCTGTAATAATCCTTCTCACCAGTTCACAACTATCCAAACATTTATGGATTTATCGAAAATTGAAACCTGCGAAGCCTGAAGCTGAAGTCGTCAAAATGTTTACTTCGGTGAATTCGACGACATCGATGAAGTGAAAATTTAAACATTTTAAGGTTCATTTTGAATAAAATTTATTTTTCCAACTTTAAACTTTTCGCAGCAGTGACATTTTAGAACTACGTCGTTTGAGAACTGCGACGTTTTAGAACTGCTTCGTTTTAGAACTTTGAACTTATAGAATTGACCAGTTCGCAACTGCGACACTTTAGGACCGTGACATTTTAGAACAGCTACCTTGCAGAACCGCGACACTTTAGGACCGTGACGTTTTGGAACAGCTACCTTGCAGAACCGCGACACTTTAGGACCGTGACGTTTTGGAACCGCAAATTTTTTGAACTGCGACATTTTAGAAACTCGACGTTTTAGAACTGTGACATATTAGAACCGCGACGCTTCCGAACCAGTTAGTTTCGGAACCGCGAAATTTTCGTATTTCGATGCTTCAGAACCACGACGTTTCAGAAATGCGAAGTTTTAGAACTACGGTATTTTAGAACCGCGCCGTTTTAGGACAGCTACCGTGCAGAACCGCGACAGTTTAGAACCGTGACGTTTTAGAATCACAACTTTTCAGAACTGCGACATTTTAACAAAACCGCAACATATTAGAACTGTGACTTTTTAGAACCGCGACATTTTAAAACCGCAATTTTTTAGAACTGCGACGTTTCAGAGGCGCAGCATTTCAGAATCGCGACATTTTAAAACCGCGACGTATTAGAACCTCGAAAACAAGAATAACAGTTAAAAAACACTTTATTTCGCCCGGCAGAATTGAACACACCGTATGAAACTCAAATCTCTTATAATCTTATCAGGGCAATTTCTTATCACTATTATCAAATCAGAAAGGGAATGGAATATTATCGCTGTCCGAAAAAAACAAGGTTAGAGTAGTTCATGCGAAGGGTATACGGTAGGTATCTCGAAGCGGCAAACCTAAATAGCTCACATAAGGTGGAGTCGCAGACAGATTTTTGAAAATTTTCTCTGCGTCTCTACATTGTTTTTCTCAGACAACTATAATAATCAGACTCGAAAATTCAAAGAAATCCAAGAGAAAGGAGTTTCGCCTCTAGTCAGGCCGACTCGTTCTGCTCCTGATTTTCGAGGAGCAGAGCTTTGTCGCTGTTGACGTCGTCCGTTTGACGGGCCTTCCATTCGGCGTGCTTCTCGATGAGATTGGCTTCAGCGTCTTTGGTCTTTTCGGAGACTTGGTTCACAACGACAGTGACGTCACGACGGAAGATCCAGTTGATGATGGTTCTGGAAAAAAAAACTGTGGTGGCCTAACTTTTCCAAGTTGAGTTTTCTAGGCCACCATGATAAATAGGCTAGATATGACCTTTTATTCATCTAGTGCGTTTCCTAGGCCATTTTAACATAATAGTCTAACTTTTGCAAGTTGGTATTTCTAGCCCACCTATGTTTATGACCTGGAAATAACCTGGTGTGTTTTCTCGGCCATTTCGACATGGTGGCTTAACTTTTTTAAGTTGAGTTTTCTGGGCCACCTAAGTTTATGACCGAGACATGCCCTTTTGTGTATTCTAGGCCATGGTGGCCTAGCTTTTGTGAAACTTACAGAACCATAGAAACCGACGCGACGATAATGAAGAATTTGATAAAATCCTCGGCAAGGTTACGGTAGTAGTCATCCGCTGAAAATAATTTTTTTTGACTTTCAAATTTTTTAGGTTTCTGTCATACTGTACGATTCCTATATGTATTCCCTTTAAATCTAGCTGACCAAAAAAGCAGATGAATGTCAGGTGAAATGAAAAAAATTACTAAATATTTCTAATTAACATTTTCAGGCTATCCCAAGTTGTGAGATCTTTCCAGAGCCTTTCTAAAAATAATTCTGAAAATGCTAGATTAATTTTTCAGGCGTCTAAAGATTTTGCAAAAGAATCAGACATCGAAGAGTTACGGTAACCCAAAGTCAAAAAAAAAACTCACGATCCTCATCAAAAAGATTGCATTTGGTGTTAACAATCATCTGAGTACCCTTGACCAATGATTCTGTGATATTCTGCTCGTAGATCAGATGACGTGCTGGATTCTCGAAGCACCACTTCTGAAGAGACATTACGCCGGCGTCGTACACATGGAAGACACACTGGAATCGGGAGTTTTACAAAATGTTATCAAAATTTAAAAAATACATTATCTCCCCAATGAGCATAGTTCTCATAGATTGTTTGATTTTCTCTTGGTCCCTTGACAATGTTGACTTTCATTAGCATGAAATCCTTTCCGAGACAGGATCTTTTCATTTCATCTTGAAGAAAATCGGCTCTGAAAGAATAGAACTGAAATTTTTATAGGATTCGGAGAGAACATGTTGCCTTTGAATGGGGACAAATGTGGCATGCATTAAAGGACAAAAATACCATATTCGCTCTAATATAAGCCCACCCTATACGTGCACTTTGAGCTCATTTATCTTGGTTCCTACAAAATATATTGAAAAGTGGCAACTGATAAATTGTTTATCATAATATCATCAACATTTTACCAGTTGACAAAATTTGCTATATCTTTCATAGGAACCGAGATAAATTAGCTCAAAGTTGGAAGTTACGGGGCCCTTCTATTACAGGTTTCAATGTATATCATGTTTTGACTTTCTCAGAAGATCAGAGTGTACTTTTTTAAATATTTGAGCAAATACGGATTTTTCCCGGTACCTTATACCAACTTTCCTACTTACCTATGATTAACAACTTGTTTGATTGCATCCTGAACCTCCAGAATCACCTCTTCCCATCCGACAGCATGAGCTCGGTGAGCCGGCGAAGCGACCACAGCGCCACGTGGCACCATTGCCATTAGAAATGGGAGAAGGCCTAACATATTCAGCCGAAGCATTTCTGGAGGATTGGAATATATTTGTGGAAAATTATTTTTTGGAGAAAAAATGTAAGACTAAAGCATTGAGTGCCGGGGGGTTTTGTCTCGATTGGCAGCTGAAAAAGTTAATTAAAACATTGTCGACCATTTATATTTTTTTCGATTTTCAGGTGCCTTTTCTTTTCGATGAATAAATCATGTGGCTATTGGGAGATGGAGCTGTCTTTTCGCATGGAAAAAGGGTTCAAAAAAATTCTTTTGGAATGAAGAAAGAGAAGAATAAGCATCCCTAAAATGTTAATGGTCCAAGAAAAATGGCATTCTTCAATACTGAGAAAGTTCTAGATCTTAAAAATGGAGTATATAAAAAAGAGTAAGCGTGAGAGTATTGAAATAAAAACAAAAAGAATATAGATGAAAGACACCAGAGAACCGGGAAGTGAGTAATTGCTTTCTTATTATATGTAGTTGTGGTGAAGAGAATTTTTCAGTTTGAATTCCAGAACAAAAAAAAGAGAATCCAGACTTTAAGATTATGATTCATGGCTCTAATAAAAGCCCATTCTACACGCGCACTTTGAGCTCAATTATCTCGGTTCCCATGCGAGATATAAAAAATCTGCCAACTGATAGAATATAGGTGATATTCTGATAAACAGTTTATCAGTGGACAGTATTTGGATATTTTTTATACAAGCCGAGATAATTGCGTTTATAATAAAGCTCCAAGTGCACGAATAGGGTGATCTTCTATGTATTAGAGCAAATACAGTAGTCTATAGTTCTGATTTTAAGATTATTTTTAACCCAAATATTTTTCTCAGACTTGCTGAAATTACTGAATAAAAGGCAGATGGATAAAATACGAAGAAAAAGTATTTTTTGGGAACAAGGAAGTCGGAATTTCAGATTTTCCAGAAATAGAGGAACTAGAATTTTATAACATGTTGCGGATTTCTAGAATTAGCTTTTTTATAGAACACATTGACTAAATTGATAAAAATGGGAAGTGCTTCAAGATAATTCTCAATCAATTAAAAGAAATTCAGAAATTAAGAAATTCAGAAATTCAGAAAATTCGGAAATTCATAAAATTTGGAAATTCAGAAATTCAGAAATTCAGAATCTCACAACTCAAAAAAGGTCTTCTGTCTTTTGATTCCCCAAGCCCCGCCCACAAAATCAGAAAGATTAATCTCTTTTTTCAACCATATTTTTCCTAGTTATGAATCAAATTTAAAATACAAAAAGAACATAAAATTGTACATACTTTTTGTTTTCAGAGAATATTCGGAAGACAAAAATAAAATCTTGTGCCCGAGCAAGCGGACTAATAAAGGAAAATCAATCAGAAATGATATAAAACCTAATCTCCAGATTAACAAAAAATTATTCGAGTTCTAATTAAATTTCTCTCTTTCCTTTCAGCGTCTAGTAGACGCCAAAAAAAGAGATTGAGCTAAAAAAAAAAGAAAAATTGCATATTCATGTGTTCAATAATTCTCGAGAATTCAAAAAGATATAAATGGAGAAAAATGAAGGAGAAGGCTAAAAATGCATAACTTTATTCCTATGGACCATGGTGCTATGAGATTATGAAGAATTCGATAATTCGAAAATACTGATTTTCTGAAATTCTGAGATTCTAAAATTCCAAAATTTTGAATATCTGAAATTGTAAGCTTCTGAGATTCTGAAATTCCGAATCTCTGAAATTTTCAAAATTCTGAAATCGTGAAGTTCCGAATTTTGAAAAGTCTGAGGTTCAGAGATTTGGAAATCTTGAAATTCTGAAATGCTAAAAATCTGAAATTCAAGTTTTCTGAGATTCTGGAATTCTGGAACTCTGGAAATTAAAATTCTGAATTTTCGAGATTTTGAAATTCTGAAATTTTCAGATTCTGATATTTCAAAGTTCCGATGATTCTGAAATTCTGATTTTTCGGAATTCCGAAATTTTGAAATTCTCAAATTCAGAATGACTTATAAAAAATTAATTTAAAAGCTTAATTGTCTTTATTTTAGACACTCTTGAAAATCAAGAAAGGAGTTCAATCAATATCCAAAAAGACGTTTGAAAGATTTGTAGACATTGAATCCTTCCGGAATCTTGTGAATCTTCGTAATCTTTTCCTTGTCGTTTCCATGGAATTCCGAGTCCTTCATTAGGATTTCGGATGGGGCAAATCCGTGGAGTCCGTGTGTTTTTGACAGATTCGTTCCCGGTTTTTCAGCCTTCATCTTTCGAATCAAACTGATTTTGCCATGTGGCGTTCCGTTGGGCTGAAAAATAGAATACTGTTCACTTTGAGCACAATTATCTCGGTTCATATGAGAGATATAAAAATTTTGGTGATATCATGATAAACATTTTATTAGTTAAAAACTTTTTGACATCTCTTAAAGGAATCGAGACAAAGTAACTCAAAAAATCAAGCCCTTGCCAGCTGGGCGGTTGGCTGCCGACCCCCTAACTTTGACCCAATTTATCTCGGTTTATATACAAGATATCAAATTTGGTAAAATACTGCTGATGTTATGATAAACATTTCATCAGTTGACAATTTTTTGATATCTTTCACAGTAATCGAGATAAGCTCAAAATTCCGTACCTCTATAGTCTTGACAACCTTCAACTCAACATCCATCCGTCCACTGGTCACCAACAACTTTTCAATATCCGTTACCAATTCTTCGAGAAACTTCTGCTCCACCTCGAATCGTTTTGAAAATTCCACTTTCTTGGATTGCGTGGAATTGGGTTTCGGATGGTGCATTGCTTCACACAAATCAAAATCGGAGACAAAAATTGCTTGAACCGGCGTCTCAACATCAGTAGCGACAAATTTGATAGGGATTAGTTGAGGGCCAATGTGCTTGGATTCCTGGAATTTATATCGGTTCTATGAGAGATAGCAAAAATTGGTCAATTGATGAAACAATTGTTAATACTATGATAAACATTTTATTAGTTGACAACTTTTTGATACCTTCTACACAAACCAAGATAATCAGTTTTCCGTGAAGTGTATCAAGAAAACCCTATACGAGCACTTGCAGCTTACTTATTTCGGTTCCCATGAAATATATTTAAAAAAGTGGTAAGCTGATAAAATATCAGTGATATTGTGAAAAAACATTTTATCCGTTGATTAATTTATGGTATTTTTATAGGAACCTAGATGAATTGCCTCAAAGTTGACGGGATGGCTGGCGGTTACTTGACTGCCACAGTGCCACTAACGCCTATTATTTCAACGCTTAATATCACAGCTCCGGTGAAAGGCATAAAAAACTGTCAACTGATAAAATTTGTAAAACTTTATCATTAAGATTTTTTCAGTTGACCACTTTTCGGTATATTTTGAAAGAACCGAGATAATCAGATTTTCCAATAAAGCGCACGGCGCACTCACTGTATTCGTTCTAATAGAAGGTCACCGAATACATGTACTTTGAGCGAATTTATCTCAGTTCCTGTGAGAGATATCAAACATTGGTTGACTGATAAAAAATAGGAGATATTATAAAAAACATTTTATCAGTTTATAGCTTTTCGATATCTTTTGAAGGAACCAGGATAATTCAGCTCGAAGTCCAAATGTCCAGATGACAGTTCTGGAGCCACCCTTATCACGCACTTTGAGCTCAATTATCTCGGTTCCTATGAGAGATATCAAAAAGCTATAAACTGATAAAATGTTTTTTATAATATCTCATATTTTTTATCAGTCAACCAATGTTTGATA